CAGGAGGAGAGGGGTCCTAGGCGGGCGATTCCAGGGTGGAAGACCCTGTAGCCCCCTCCATCTCTCCTCGTCCAGGAGAGGCCCCTGGCCCTGAGCCATCATCATCCATCTGTAGCTGTGCAGCCTCAGCCTCCTGCTTCTGGCTGGGGGAGGATGGACCTGACCACTGTGACTTTGTCAGTCACACGTTCCTCCAGGGCTGATTGAGTGGTCACCAGGGTCCACCCCAGTGCTGGTTATCTGATGATGTACTATAGAAAAAAGGCATACTCTTTCTGTTTGGCAGTTTTCTGTTCCACGTGGTGCTGACAGAAGCCACGCTGTAGCATTAGCTAACAGATATGATGGTGCATCGGATCCAAGCAGGTGTCACCCAGGTGTTAGATCTGAGCTGTCTAGGACCAGTGCATACCTGCACCTGACATCCCTTGCCTGGGGGTCTTGGGGTGGTCCTACTTCTTGTGTGGTGGGTGACTCCGGGTTCCTAGAGAAGCTGTTTTGTGTGAACCAGGCAAAGGTTTTGAGATATCTCCTAACCCAGCCCAAAAGCTCGTGTCATTTTTGTTGCATTTTCTTGGTAAATAAGTCACTCAGGCCAGCTCAGCATGAAGACTTGGAAGTTTTAAACATGGTTTGCTGACAGAAGTGGGGTTCAGAGTTTGCCACTGCCAGGCACGAGCCCTTGAGAAGGCGCACTTAGGCTCTCTGAAGCCCAGTCTTCCATCTGTAACATGGCAATGACAGCATATACACTTTAGGGCTTATAAGAATTTATATGTTAATGTGCATAAATGCGTGTGTTTATATACATTTTGAAACTTCAGCGCCTGGTGTGAAACGCCTGCTCCCCGTCACTAATGTCTACTGTTTCTGCTTCTTCCTGGGTGTCAGGCCATGCCCCATCCTCCCTGCAGGCCGGGGGACCCTGTGACTGTCCCGCCCCTTGCATCCTGAGGGGCAGGCACGGATCTGCCCCTCAGTGGTCCAGGCTTCCTCCCTGGCCTCCATCAGCCCACGTTTCGAGTGAGAAATGACTTTGTTGGTTTTAGGCCGCCGAGGCCCTGATGTCGTCGTCACAGCCCTTAGCCTCTCCTGACCGATGCCCTAACACGCAGAGAGCTCCCGGTTAACATGCATGCAGCTCTGGCCTGACCAGCTGTGAGAGGCAGGGACGGGACCCGCCCACAGGTTTGTGACAGTGCCAGAAACCGAAGGCTGAACTTCCTGGCTTGGCCTCTCTTTTGCTACAGTTACTCCATTTGAATACAGAAAGTATGCCGTGCATACCTTTGATCTTTTCTTTTTGGGTACCAGGAATCGAACTCAGGACCTGTGCTTGCTGGGTAGGTGCTGTGTCACTGAGCTGTAGTCCCGGCCTTTGCCTTTTCTCTTAACATGAGAGTATCCAGAATGAAACCTCTAGCAAATTTTCAACAGACAACACAAGGATTTACAGTGTTTTAGACCCAAGTCCAGTAAGAATAGTACAATTTTAATTCAGAATACTTTCTAAAATTCATTTGGCAGTTGGATGTTTTGGTTTACTCCTGTGACCCCAGCATTTGGGAAGCTGAGGCAGGAGGATCACTGAGAGTTTGAGGCCAGCCTCAGTTACAAAGTAAGAGGCCAGCCTGAACTGCGTATTGAAACCCTGTCTCAAAAAAATAATAAATAAATACAAATAGAATCAATTTGACTTGATGGGTTTCAGAACCTAAATATAGGGGGTAGGATGTTTTTAATTTAGAAGTTTGTCTAGTTAATTTTTTTTTTTTTTTGTCTTTTTCCTTTTTATCGGTACTGGGGATCGAACTCACGACTGCCTGCTTGCAAGTTAGGTGCTTATGCCGCTGAGCTAAATCCCCAGCCCCTGTCTAGTTAATTCTTAAAATTATGAAATATTTTAAGAACACAAAAAAGATATAATAAACGTCTATATTCTTACAAATCAGTGTGGTTAAATCTTAACATACTGCTATGTTCGATTCATGTTTTTTCAAAAGAAAGAAAAATCAAAGAAAAAAAGAGAGAAAGAAAAATAGGTAAAAAGCCGGGCGTGGTGGTGCACACCTGTAATCCTAGCATTGAGGAGGCTGAGACGGGATTGTTGTGGGTTTTTAATTACTGTGCCAAGCACTTTGTAATTTCCTGCTCAATCCTTGCAACAATCCTACCTGGTGCTTGTTATGAATCTGGAGAGATTAATGGAGGCCTGAGGAGGCTGACTCCAAAGTCATGCTTTTTTCAAGCCAGGCATCCTGGCACATGCCTGTAATTCCAGCGCGCAGGAGGATGAGGCAGGAAAATTTCTGTGACTTTGAGGCCGGCCTGGGCTACATAACAAGACCCTTAAAACAAACACACAGGCTGGGCGTGGTGGCTCATGCCTGTAATCCCAGCACTTGGGAGGCTGAGGCAGGAGGATTGATTGTTGTGAATTCGAGACCAGCTTGGGCTACAGAGTGAGCTCAAGGCCAGCCTGAGCTGCATAGCAAGACTCCAATTAAAAAAAAAAAGCCACACACACACACACACACACACACACACACACACACACACGGAGCCATGTTTTCTACAATGCCTGGTTTCTTTCATGAGGTTGTTGTAGAGAATGGTCACTGTCACAGATGTCCCCACACGTGGCAGGCAGGAGGCATCTCCAGGCAGCACCAGGGTGGAGTTGGCCTCTGTTCCCTCCGGTGATTTTCTCGCCACCTGTCTCCACCTGCCTCTCCTCCCTGCTCCCCGGCAACCCCAGGTTCTGAGCCCAATCCCCAGACCTCCAAGAAGGTGACCTGCTGAAACCCATGCCCCAGCGTAGAGCTCGGCTCTGTCCTGGCCCCTGGATGGCCTGGCCCAGCACGGGGTAGGGGTAGGGGGCGGCCAATGCAGAGACCAGGATGATGACTGACTTCTAAAGCCACTATTTTGGTTCCTCTGACCATGCCAAGCAAGAAATAGCAACGAGACTGAGTTGTGAGGCGGAGGGGAATCCAAGGGAACTGGGGGCAGCAGCTTGGGCTGCTGAGCTGAGCCGAGCTTTATCTGCGGTGGGAATTTGGGCCCTGCAAGCCTGAGGCTCAAGGAAGAGCACCTTCCATCCCAGAGCGGACCCAGGGTTGTGTGGGGGAACCCCAGCACCAGGCCTTCTACCATCCTCCAGCAGGGCATAAGATAGCCAACAGGGACAGAGTGCCTCAGAGAAGTGGCCTGCAGAGCTGGCTGGGCAGCAGCTGCCCTGGAGCCAGAGCTTGGTGATCCTGGACCCAGGAGGGCGTTTCCATCCCTGTCTCCTTTCTTCTGAGCCTCAGTTTGTTTGTCTGTAAAATGGGGATACAAGTCCCTCCCAGCCAACAAGCGCACATGTACAGTATGTAGACCATGAATTGCAAAAGAGATTTATGAGAACTAAAACCCAGCTGGTGACCCTGTGTCTGGGACACACTCCAGAGGACAGACAGACACAGGTTCCTTCACAAAGCTGGCTGCCCAGGGGCACTCTCGTCTGTTTGAGGACTCAGTCTGCTTGGGGCCAAGTCTGGCAAAGGGGATGCCTGTTTTCACACAAGCACAGAGGAAAGGCACTCAACTCCCCAGGAACAGAGCAGAAGGCAGAGAAAAAAAGGCTCCCTAAGCCCCAGGAGAGGACAGCGCTGGCCTCACAGCTCCTAAACAGAGAGAGCGATGTCCAAGGAAGGGTTAGGAGGTGCTAGCCAGCGCGGGGTACTGGTGGAGACACCCAGAAGTGATGTCTGCAGGAGGCCTTGGGGAAAAGCTGGAGCTCACCCAGGGGAAAGGTGAGATTGGTGTGCTGGCGTATTGCAGCCTGAAGCCTGTGCAGCACAGAAGAGGCAGCACACTTGTGATCCAGCTCTCTGGGAGGCTGAGGCAGGAGGATCATATATTCCAGCCCAGGAGAGCAGAGGCTTTGCGCTCAGGAAAGACATCGGGCCAGATCTGTAAAGGACCTTCCACCTGGGGATGACTGCTGTGGTTGGGGGAGCAGGGGGAACCCTGAGCTCAGCAGCGGCCAAAGACAGGCCTGAGAAAGCTGGCCCACTGGTTCCGCTAGAGAGGAAGTGGGACAGTCCTCCTGGCCCTTGGGGTGTGCCTGTCTGGGCAGCTTTATCTTTTTTTTTGAGACAAGCTCTCATTGTGCAGTTCAGGCTGACCTTGAGCTCACATTGTAACCCAGGCTGGTCTTGGAACTCACAGTGATCCTCCTGCCTCAGCCTCCCAAGTGCTGGCTCTACAGGCATGCGCCTGAGCAGCTCTATTTAATCAGCACATGAGAACCCAGAACCTTCGGCCCCACATCTGTTCCTTCCTTGGCACTCCCCAATGCTGTCTTTAGTGCCTCCAGTTCTTAGGGGTGAGTGTTAAGTAGTTCTTTTTTTTTTTTTTTTTTTTTGTCTTTTTCCTTTTTATCGGTACCGGGGATCAAACTCAGGACTGCCTGCTTACAAGGCAGGCGCTTATGCCGCTGAGCTAAATCCCCCAACCCCCAGTAGTTCTTTTAAAAACTGAGTGTGAAGGAAAAAACTGAACTGCATATGGTGATACAGGCCTGTAATCTCAGCACGTAGGAGGCTGAGGCAGAAAGATTGCTGCAAGTTTGAGGCCAGCCTGGTCTACATAGTGAGATCCTGTCTAAAACAAATTTTAAAATATAAGAAAAATCTTAATTAAAAAAAAAGAAAGAAGAAAAGAGATTGGTTCTAAAAGATGGAATTCGTGCAGTGTTTTTGTGTGTGTGCGTGTGTGTGCTAGGTAAGCGCTCCACCACGGAGCCCCATCCTCTGCCCCGACTCCAGCTGGATAGCTGACTTTAGGGTGGGTGGACACATGAAACTTGGCTCTTTCTCACACAAGTGGACCCATGGGTGAGGGCACGAGAGGAAGCCATTGAGCCCTCTCACACCAGCTGTAACCATGACACGTCAGGGAGGTGAGCCCCACAGAGCCCAGCGTCCCTGTGACAGCCACCAGCTCTCCTGCCCTTCTTATGATGAACCTTTTATTATAGAGACAGACTTAATTCTCTTTTGCATAAAGAATCTCTGGGTCGGGTCAGGGGAATCCACCGCAAAGGTCACCACCCAGCTCTCCCTGCCTCTGCCTCGGGACATCTCAGGGTCTCTGGAGAAGGGCAGAGGCTGCTGTCCCCAGGGCCGAGCTCATCGGGCCGGGCCTTGCCGGGTGGAGGGCAGGCACTCGGGTGCGCACCACGTCACGGCCGCCCGCTCTCCCGCCCCAGCCGGTTGTCTAGCACCTGCAGCTGCCGCAGGAAGCCCGAGTTGGGGCAGATGTCACGGTGCGCCTGCACCGTCTGGATGGCCTCCACCAGCGTCATGTTCTCGCAGATCATGAGGAAAGCCAGGACAAGCGTGGCAGAGCGGCTCACCCCCATGGCACAGTGGACCAGCACGCGGCCTGCAGGAGACGGACCCAGGGTGAGCACCTGCGGACACTGCGAGGTCGCCTCCCACTTCCGGCCATCCTTTCAGCCCTGGAGCAGACTCCAGGAACATCGATGCCAACTGTCCCCCAGAGAGTGACGGAGAGTGGCTCAAGGTCGCCCAGCAGGGCAGCGGCAGGACAGGGCCACAGGGAGGGTTTCCTTCTCCTGGCCCAGGGTGCTTTCTCTAGCATCCTTTGCAACTGTTGGGAGAGGTGACTACTGAACCCCTGGGGACTCCTAGACTTCATAGGATTATAGAGGGTGTCTGCCACCAACTTTTCCCCCTGCCTGGCCCCTCCCTGTCTCTGTATTCTGTGCTGAGGCCTCTGAGAGGGGCTGCTGGGCACCAACGCCTGGCCTCTGACTGAGGGGTACAGTTACCCTGATGACCACGGTAGATCTTTTTCTCTGTGCATTTGGTTTTTTGAGACAGGGTCTCCCTATGTAGCCCAGGCTGGCCTCCCCCATGCTGGGATCTCAGGCGGCACCACCACACCCAGCAGTAGTGGATCACAGTTAAGCCTGAGGTGGTTGGTTCCCAGGTGGGGGGTGGCTGGTGCGGTCCATGCCCTGGACTCCTCACCCCTCGGTGCTACTTTGGCACCAGGGAAAGCCCCAGGCCCACCCTGTCCCCGGCCTGCCCGATGCCACCCCACCGCTCACCTCGGGGAGCGCTGAGAGCTGTTCGGATATAGCGAGCCACAGGCAGGAAGTAGATGCTGATGTCAAAGTAGGGGTTGTCATCTGCCTCGATGCCGTAGTACTCTAGGGGCAGCCCGTGGTAGAACTTGGCCCCTGTGTCTACCTGAAACCTGCCTGCAGCAGCGTTCACGACGTGGGTGATGCCCATCTGCACCAGGCGGCTCTTGTCCCGGGCAGTGTACCTGGGGAACACGGGTGAGGAGAGTGGGGGCCGACTACCGCAGCAGCTCTGGCTGGGGGGGACCTGCCCATACCCCTCTGGGCCCCTCCAGGGGTGCTGTAGGCTGCCCTGGTGAGCAGGCCCTGGCAGCTGGGGCTGAAGACCTCTAACAAGGGCGTGGTGGTCCATCCCTGTCGTCCCCCAACATGGGAGGATGAGGCAGGAGTATCACCAGGAGTTTGAGGACAGCCTAAACTACACAGACCTTGTCTTAAAAAACAGCAAAAACAAAACCGTACCTATAAACAGGAAAAAACAGCATATCTAGGCTTTGGTGCTGTCTTCAATTTCAGCATCCATTGGGGGTCTGTGAACATATCCTCCCATAGAGGGAGCTCCTGAGCATCTAAATGATGACATATTGCACCCTCTAAAAGGTATGTAAGAAAAGATGTTTGTTATATCAAGAACCTGGGGGCTGGGGGCACAGTTCAGTGGCATGGTACTTGCCAGGCAAACACAAGGTCCTGAGTTCAATTCCCAGCTTAAGAAAACAAAAGGGCCTGTGAAAATACAGGCTACAAAACAGAATGTTTCACTTTAAAAAATGCATAGTGTGATCTCATTTATAAAGCAGATCACCAAACCAGTACTGTGAAGTGATATCATTTTTATTTTTTAAAAAATTATTAAAAGTGGGCTGGGGATTTAGCTCAGCGGCCTAAGTACCTGCCTTGTAAGCAGGCAGTCGTGAATTTGATCCCCGGTACCGATAAAAAAGAAAAAGACACACACACACACATACAAAATTATTAAAAGCATATACATGAAAAAACCATGTATGTGTATATGCATCTTAAAATAGCATACAAAAATTGTATCTGTGTGGGAGGAATAATATATTCATCATTTTCCAATACTTGCATTAAGCTTCTAAACTCTGTATACATTTGGTCCATATTTTCTAAAGTTTAAGAAGACTTGGGGCTGGGGATTTAGCTCAGTGGCATAAGCGTCTGCCTTGCAAGCAGGCAGTTATGAGTTCAATCCCCGGTACCGATAAAAAACAAAAAGACAAAAAGAAAAAAAAAAAAAAGACTTAGGAAAAATACCTCACAATTCTACTCTCTTTTCAGCCTATAGAAATGCATGTGTTTTCCCAGGATACCTGCATTTATATATTCATAGGATTACTGTTCATGATAGCCAAAAACTGGAAATGTCTCAAATCTCCATATACAGTACAATGTTTTGTTTTGGTTTTTTTGCACCAGGGATCAAACTTGTGACCTCGCTCTGGCCAGGCAGGTGCTTATGCTGCTGAGCTAAATCCCCAGCCCAATACAATGTTGAGACTGTGGTACAGTCACGCAGTAGAATATTATACAGCAGTAAAAAATGAATGGACTGCACCAGCCAGTAACAACATAATAATATGAGGGAAGACAAATGGGGAAAGAGATGGTGGCAGGTGGAGGGCGCCACCTCTGCCCCTGAGCTTCTCATGTGGGTGACGTCAGACCCTCCACCACCTCTCACCCACGGTCTCACTCACGCGTCTCCCAGGAAGAGGTTGGGCCAGACCTCGTTGACGTGGTTCAGTGTGGCAGCCCTGCGGACCCACAGCAAGCGCTGCAGTGAGGCCAGTGTGGGCGGCTGGTAGGGGGACACCCGGCCTGCCCCATGGATCTTGGGCCTCCGGAGGTCCTGCTTCTGTAGCGAGTCCATCCTGGAACAGAGTGGACAGTGCAGTGGCTGGGGACAGGACCTCAAGCAATGCAGGTCCTGGGGTCACCGTGTGCCATGGGTGAGCCCCTGGGTTGTTCTTTTCTTGAGACAAGGTCTTGCTGTGTAGCCCAGGCTGGCATGGAACTCAAAGCAATTGTCCTGCCTCAGCCTGCCCTGCTGGGATTACAGGCCTGCCCTGCCAAGCTCGTAGCCACAGCTGTTCTGGATGAGGCTGCTCACGAAGCTTAGCTGGTCTTTTCCCCCAAGAACAAGGGGAACCAAAACTTCCTCATGGCTCTGGTCATGCCTCCTCCTAAAGTCACCAGCGGTGGAAGCTTTGGCCTTGGGGTCTTGGGGTTTCCCATTTCTGGCAAAGCCAGTGCACACTCACCCCTTCAGTGGCCCATCAGTTGGAATTTGTAGGGATGGGAGCTCCAGGTCCCTGTGGTCCCCACCCTGCCACTTCCGTTCTGGTCCTCAGCCTCATTCCCCTCCCCCCCGCCTACTTTCCAGAGCTGGAGACCAGAGCTTCCCCAGCGGGTGAGAGTGCATGTGGGGGAATGTCCTGTGTCTGATGCCTCCCGAAGCTGTGTCCCTGCTCCTCTCCTGCATGCTGGAGCTCAGATTGCTCCCGAGGCAGAGCCCTGTGGCTATGGGGCTGAAGGCTGCAGTTACCATCCAGTCCTCTGAACCCTCAGGTCCCTGCCCAGCCTTTTGTTGCCCTGGAGATTCCAGAGAGGGACCAGCCCTCCCGTCCTGCTCCCTGGGGGCCAGGTGTCACCAAGTCCCATGACCACCACAGGCCCTGCTCTCCCTCCTTACCCCCACGACTCTGGCCCACGTGGCTCTGTGGGCCTGGTCCAGCTTGGCTGGGCTGTGTCTGCTGGCGTTGGCTGGCCCAGGGTGTCCGGGACGCTGCACAGCTGGGCCGTCAGGGGCACCAGAACCTGGGCCTGGTGCTGCCCTGGGAAGGGGGCCCTGCCCGGGCCGACGGTCCCAGACCCCTGCAGCCAGCAACTAGGGAAACTACAGACTGGGAAGAGCATCTTTTCCTTTCGATCAGTGGTGCCAGGACCAGTGATAGCAAGAGGCATCCAGGAGACCATGGGCTTAGCCGTGCTCACCCAGCGGGTGGCCTGTGGGCAGGGCGGAAGCGAAGGCCCGGCTCTCCCCTTCATGCCCTGCTGCGACCTCTCTCTCTCCCCCTGGCAGGCTGGGTGGCCTGCCACCTACCTAGGGCATGGTCTGGGGCTGGGACTGGGGACTGGAGCAGGGACAGGGCTCAGGGAGAGCGGAACAGGGCCAGGGCAGGTTCCACCCGGAACACAAACCCTGTGAAGCGGCCAGGATTCCAGGCCTTGGGGCCCCGGGGGTGGGGCTGGGAGCAGGCCGAGCCTGTGGCCTTGTGCAGGGCACACGGGACCAAGGGCTCTGGGTCCTGTGGCCACCCTGAAGATGGGTGGCTACCTGAGGAGGTGACCAGGCAGCTGAGAGGGAGACAGAAGCCTGAGCCTCCTGAGGAACACCCCAGCCCTGCTCCTCGGTCCCTGGGAGGCTGCTGCTGTGTGGCACAGCTGCTCTGCCTGACGATCCTGGCAGTACCTAACTGCTCAGGACTCTTGGGTTGTGTCCTGGGCAGAATACAGGGCAGCAGGCAGTGTAGCATGCTGGAGTGGGGGAGGCCCAGATGCAGGGGCATCCATGGTCATCCTGCTCTGCAGCTCCCAGGTGAGGCCGCTCCGGCTGTGGCAGGACCAGAGGGGCCTTGGAAAGCCAGTGGGCACCTGCTCCACCCTGGAGCTTGGCGTGGGGTGAGGTCGCCCTCTGGTGGTCTTCAGGTGCCACGCAGCCCAGCTGCTCAGGGCGCAGGCCGCCAGGCTCCTGGGGACTCACTGCTTCCTGGGGTCACAGGGATCGGGGTGGGGGCTGTTGGGACACCCCAGGCCTCCGCCTCCCAGGAGACCAGGCCCTGGTCTGCAGCATGGCACCCTTCCCTAGAGTCAAGGCCACTCCCGCACACACTCGCCTGGGCCCTGGCTCCTGAGCGCAGGTTGTCCTCCTCCATCTGCCCTGGCCCCAGCCAGTGACCTGTCCTCAGGCCCTGCACACAGGAGAGGCTGTGGCCATGCTGCCTGGGTCCTGCTGTCCAGCTGGGGACTGTGGAAGGCCCTCCCTGCACCTCCCTCGCACTTCTGCTGCAGTGGGTGATGCCTGGCTCCTCCCACTCATGCCAGCCCTCACTCTGCTCCTCACCACGCCACCTTGTCCCTTCCCACGCTGCCCCGTGGCTGAGCAGCCACCTCTGTGGACATGGTTTTCCTGCTGCTTCACGGCTGCCCGGTCTCGTTTATCTGTCTACAGCCAGTTCTCTGCGTTGGGTTGCTCACTCTCCTTGCCTGTCTCCCCCCATTCCCCAAGAAGAGCACACTCCTCTGCAGCCTCCTAGAACCCTGCCTTTTATGCCCATAGCTGGGGCACTATGAGCATCCCAGAAGATTCTGAATGTAAAGTGCCTCCCAGTAGTAATTATTACCTTCACCACATATTTTGTTTGATTGGTTTTTTGAGACAGGGTCTCCATAGGTATCCCAGCTGCTCTTGAACTCACTGTGTAGCCCAGGTTGGCCTCAAACTCTTGGTACCCAACCTCAGCCTCCCGAGTGGTGGGATCACAGATGTGTGCCACCACACCGGGCTTTACATTCACCACTTATTAAGGAAGGACATACCATGTACCAGACAGAGCCAAGTGCTTATTTTTTCTCACTGAATCCTGCTGTCCTTATGGAAGGCATAATATTATTATTCCCATTGTACAGTTGAGGAAACTGAGGCTCAGGGAGGTTAAACAGCTTGCCCAAGATCACAGAGCCAGTGGGTGTGGGGAACCAGGATTCCGGCCAGGGCATTTCTGATTGCTGTGCTTTGTAACTCTCTTTCCCATGCGATAGCCAGCCCACCCTCACCATGACCCCCCGCACAGGCTCAAGAGCCAGGAGTACCCCAAGCCCTGGGGCAGCAGTCACCCACCTGTGGCGGTGTCCGGTCCTGGCCGAGGGCTTCTCCAACGCACAGTTTGTGCCTCCGACAGCCAGCCGCCTGTCTCTGCACACTTGATGCGGTTTCTATTTTTTGATTTGAGCTTAATTATAAAGCATGCCGCCTGCTCCCCCCTCCGGTCACCCCTGCCACTCCTAACTCGTCCACTGGTCCCAGGGTGCGGTCAGTGCCAGGCCCAGCCAGGCACCAGCCCTGCTGGCCCCGTGTGTGTCCTGCGTCCGTGAGGGGGTCAGCTGGCAGGGATGTCGGAGAGACCATCTCACAAGCTCCCTCTGGGCGGAGTGTGGCTCAGCGAGACAGCGCTGGCCGGAGTTCCATCATCTCCAAAAACAACAACTCGCTTGGCCTTTAAGGACCGGAAGTGGGACCAGAAGGACCAAGAAGGGCAGAGGAGAGATGCACCGGAAGCACACGCAAGCAGGTGGCCTTGCCAGTATCCACATCCAGTCTCCGAGCCGTACTGGGGACTAAAGGAGGTGGGACGGACCAGGATTAAGATCTGGAGACCCGGAGGGGAGTGGTCGTGCTTGCCTGTAATCCCAGCACTCTGGGGAGGCTGAGGCAGGAGGATTGCCATGAATCTGAGGCCAGCCGGGGCTACACAGTGAGTTCCAGGCCAGCCTGAACTATGCAGTGAGACCTCATGTCAAATAACAACACAAAACGATCTGGAGCTACAGCCGGAGGCTGCCACGCAGACTGAGGTGCACATGGCACAGAGCAGGGCGGCTTTGTCCAGGAGTCACTCCGGCCCCCACCAACCGCTCCCTCAGAGACAGTGACCCGGCAGAGTCCCGCCCAAGCCCGCCACCCCTTTTGGACAGTGCGTGCCCTCTTGAGGCCGAATGCAATCATTAGTGATCTTAGATTTGGACTTGTTAAGGAACCATTGTTACCCAAGATCCTGGCCATACAATACCTTGTTTTTTTTTTTTAAGACAGGTTCTTGCTATGTAGTTCAAGTTGACCTCAAACTCAGTGATCCTCCTGCCTCAGCCTACCAAGTGTTGGGAATTCGAGTGTGTGTCAAAGCATTTGCCTTTTCCACCAACTCTGGACCTCTGAAGTCTGAGCTCCAGGGAGCTGGGACTCAGCCTGCTGGGGTTCCCTGAGCCTTGGGGAGAGCCGAGGAGGTGGCTGTGGCCCAGGGCTGCTTCCTCCCTCTCCACTCTCCTGGGGACATGCAGGTCCTGGCCTAGGAGCCTCAGGTGTTGGGGCAGAGGCCACACCCACCTGTGGGGACTGAAGGTAGTGGCTGCGAGGGGGTGCAGGGTACAAGGGGCAGCAGATGGAGGCACAAGCTGCAGGGGGCACCCCCCGGGGGACTCTCAGCACCTTCTGGCCATCCACCAGGACCAGAGCTTCCAGCAGCAGCAGCAGGACCAGGGCCAGGGCAGCAAAGTGGCAGAGCCCTGTGGCGAGGAGCAAGGATTGGCGCTGGGAGAGAGAGAGGATTTGTGTTATAGGCAGGTAAACCAAGGGGCACGCTGGCTGGGACTGTTAGAGCTGTCACCTGAGCCTGCTTCTGCCTTGGGTCCTGCGCATCAGATCAAGTGGGCACAGATGTGAGGAAAAATGAGGAGAAAAATTTGGCATCCATGGCTGGGGAGGACCTCTCCGCCACCTTCTCATCTGCAGGATGCCAGGTACAGCTACACAGGCTGCGCACTGCACAATTCCTGGAGGCTCTAGTTACATGGTCTTGTGGATGGTACACTCATGGGTTTTGCAATGCTGTAAACCTCACCGACATATTACCTCCAAGCCAGCTGCCGGTGTCTAAGGCTCCACGCTAAGGAGAGGGTGCCGGCCTGATCAGACATCTGCTGCTCTACCAGGCTGCTGGATCCTGTAGCATGTGCTGTTCCCACGGGGGCACGGCCCCATCTTAGCTTCCTGCCCACCCCACTGGCCCTGGCTGACTCCTTGCTGCTAGGCACACCCAGCTTAGCCCGGTGCCCTCCTCACCTGGCCCCTCAGCTGCGGCACTCGCCCCGCAGCCGCTGGTCCAGCTGGCGGAGCTGGTGGAGGAAGCCGCGGTTGGGGAAGATCCAGCGTCGCTCCCGCACGGTGAGCACGGCCTGGCGCAGGGACAGCCGCTGGCGCAGCATGAGGTAGGCCAGCACCAGCGTGGCGGAGCGGCTCACGCCCACCACGCAGTGCACCAGGACCTTGGCTGGGGAGACACCAGCGAGAGGCTGCTTCCATCCGACCCTCCGTCCCCACGCTGCCTGCTGTACTCCGGGACCCCGGCAAGTTGCTCAGCCTCTACGGGCCTCAGCTTCCTGATCTTTGTTTTCCTTTTTTTGTTATTTGTATTGAATTGTTCGAGACAAGGTCTCACTCTGTAGCCCAGGCTGGCCTTGAACTCATGGTGATTCTTCCTGCCTCACCTAAGTCCCTGATCTTTCAGCAAATCAGAGAAAACCCCTGTTTTCCTAGCTTTGGGATGGAGCCTGATTCCTAACACGGCTTAGAAGGCCCTGAGGTGGGCCTGCAGCCTGCCCCCTGGACCCTGCAACCCTGAGCTCTGGGAACACTGGAACTTTCTGTCGTGACTTCCCCTGTCCCCCAGCCTTAGCTGATGCTGTTCCCTCTTCCTGGTCTCAGGCTGACTAACATCTACTACTCAGCATTCAAGTATCAGCTGAGGCAGGGCTTTCCTGACCAGGCAGGCCTCGCCTGAATCACACAGCAGCTCTTGGATTGTGCATGAGGCCTAGTGGCCTCTGCTGTAGAAGGAAGTCCCCACTTCCCCGACCGTGAAGACTACGTACCCCACCCGGGTCCCCATAGCCTCTCGTATTCACTTTTTTCTAGCAGCAACACTCCTGATACCTCGCTGTCTGAGACTGGTAAGTCCTGTGCGCATGGGGACCCTGCCTTGCGGAAGCCTGGATTTCCAGAATCTGATTCAGTGCCTGACATGTAGCAGATACTCAGTGAATAGCTGATGGATGAGTGGACAAAACCCAAAAGAATGTCTAGGTGCTTTGAATATTAAAAGTTGCTGTGAGTTACAGCCATATCATTCCCATTACAAGGGCGAGGAAACTGAGGTCCTGAGAGGAGCGTTGGCTTCCTCAGGGTCACACAGAAAAGGGCACAGCTGTGTCTCAGGATGAATACAAAGCCAGGGCTCCAGCCTGGCTAGTCTCCTTTTGTTTGTTTGTTTGGTTGGTTGGTTGGTTGGTTGAGACAGGATCTCAACGTGTAATTCAGCCTGGCTTTGAACTCATTATGTAGCCCAGGCTGGCCTTGCACTCATGGTGATCCTCCTGCCTCAGCCTCCCAGATGCTGGGATCACAGTGGGGTGTCACCATGCCCGGCTAGTCTCATTTGTTGTATCCTGGGTACTTCAAGATTTTTTAAAATTTGAAAGTCTATTGGGGCAGACAGTAGGTACCAGTGGAGATTTCTTGAGGGTGACCACAGAGAAAGAACTGGTGACTTGGAGACCTGGCTTCCAGCCCCAGGACTGCTACTAACTTCCTTAGTGGCCTTACGCTGAGAGGGACCTGTTCCTCCTGTAAAGCAACCAGGAATAAAGTGCTAGGGCATAGAAGGGAGGGTTTTAAAAAACCAGAATGACACTCAGGAGGCTGAGGCAGGAGGATCATTGCGACTTCAAGACCAACCTGGACTACAAAGTGAGCTCAAGGCTAGCCTGAACTGCATAGTGAGATCCTGTCTCAAAAAGACAAAAACAAACAAACAAACACGAAAAAAAAAAAAAAAAAACCCAAAACCAGGACGAAAGGGCACTGATGATTGAGAGGAAACAGGCTCCCTCCCCGCATGCACACGGGCAGACCCGGGGGCTCCGACCCCAAGTCCTACCCCTGGGGGTGCTGAGTGCTTGGTGGATGAAGTCTGCTGCGGAGGAGAAGTAGGTGCTGATGTCGAAGTTGGGGAGGTCGTAGGCCGGCACCCCCAGGTAGCTCACACTGCTGCCGTAGAAGTCGGGGCCGCCCTGGCAGTAGAGGCCCCCGTGGGCGGCATTCAGCACGTGGGTGATGCCCAGCTTCCACAGCTCAAAGCGGTTGTTCGCCGTGGCCCTGGGAGGGCAGGAAGGGAGCTGGAGGCTGGCTGAACGGTGGACACCGGGAAGGAGGTGGTGTGGGAGGGTGAAGCCACAAGGGCCAGAGGCGGCTGAGCCCAGCAAGCCTCCCTTCCAGAGCTTGCCTGGGGCAGGGCTGGTGCAGGCTCGGCTCCTTTGTGCCTCCTGGGGCCATCTGCCTGCGGCCAGCTCAGGAGGGCAGGGATTGCCTGCCCTGTCTTCTTGCCCCATCTCTTCCCACACACATCCTGCCTCTTTGTCACCACGGTGTACCTGCTTCTGATCTGGAGACACATAGGGCTGACACCTCCCTGACTCTGCCACCCACTCTGTGTCCACAGCAGGGAGGCTGGCACCAGAAAGGGGGATCTCTGTTGGCCCCGTCTGGTGCTCCACGTACTGCTCCCCATCCCTGGGTCCCCAGATTGGGCAATTGTCTTGCATGTGCCAGATGACTCCAGGGCCCTTTGGGAATCCCTGCCCCTCCCGGATCCTGTGGCCACACCTGGCCACTGTGTTGTCTCGGGCATGTGGGAGTCCTGGAGAAAGTCTCTGCCAGCCCAAGATTTCTCCTTATTCCCATCCACCCCCTCATCTGGTAAAAAGCTCAAGCACTGCTTGTCCTCGGGCCCCCTCTTTGGACCAGCAGCCACTCACGCATCTCCTATGAAAAGATTAGGCCAGACTTCGTCCACACGGCTGCAAGAGGCCTTCCCTGCCCGCAAGAGCTCCTCCAGCTCCAGAACGCTGGGACAAGCTGTGGCCTCCGCGTCTGCCCCTTGCTCTGGACGCCAGGCCTCAGCCATGGGCCGGCCCGGCCCACCCTCTGCTCTGCCTTCACACCGTTCTGCTTTTCCTGAGTTGTTTCTTCTTCCCGGAGATTGGCAGGGACAGGTGGGACAAGAGTGACTCAGCAAGTCCCAGAGGCCTCTGGAGAGGAAAGGACTGGTTTCTCCCAAGCCAGAATCACCCCCAAACTCCTCGAGAACGTGGATTCAGACCAACCCCCTCAGGTCACTCCCTCTCTCAACCTTGTGTCTCCCTCGGTAGAGTTCAGAGAAGGGTTGCAAGGGTTAAAGGAGGTACAGGATGCTCTGGGTCATGGCGGAGCTTTGAAATGTGTTTTTGAGTGAATAGGTTTAGAGCCCTCCCAAGGCCATTTTGTCCTACAGCTGAGTTAACCCAGAGGGCCAGGGTGCAGCTGGCTCCGAGGATGGATGATGGAAAAGGCTGTGCTGGAGGCTGAGGCAGGAGGCTCATCACAAGTTTCAGGCTGGCCTGGGCTAGCGAGTTCAAGGCCATCCTGGACTATATAGTGAGACCCTGTATAACAAAACAAAACAAAAACTTCTGCAGGTTTGGGTGGGCCACAGACTGGGTGGGAGACAGATGTCTGTGCAGCGAGCCTGTGTGTGACACAGCTCAGGGGCAAAGTTTGCAGTCAGAGAAATATGGGAAGAAGACATGGGAGACAGCATCTAAAAATGCACACAAGCTTTACAGGGGAAGAGTTGAGCAATGGCCTTGTGATGAAGATGGCAGGTTTCTCAAAGGAGAAGGTGGAAGAGGCAAGTGTCGCTCTTGCCGTGATGGTGAACCTTGATGCCACACCACAGTGGGCTGTTACCATCGAAAGCTCTAGAACATTTGCCATCACTGCTTTGAGAGCCAAAGTATCTGTGATTATTTATAGAGGGCAAGAGGGTTGTAGGCCTCTGCCTACAAACAACAATGGCTCTGAGCCCCACAGCTGTCCTAGACATGCCAGAAGATTTCAGGAGCCAGAGGCTTTTGGCCTCAAAGAAGAACTGAGGAAAAGTGGATTTGTCTTTCTACCAGAGTTGGTTGTGGGCAAAAAAGATGTTTTCCTGTGTGTTGTGTGACTTCCTGAGGCCTTTCTGGGGCTTGCAGGAGCATGAGTTGTGGTAGGCAGATCCCCAGCTACCCCTGATCTTGATTCCAGCTCTTAGGAAAGGCCCTCCCAGAGCACTCTGTGAAAGCACTGTGTGCTCCACCACCCCAGAGCCTGCTCCCGCTCTGTCCAGAGCCACCCAAGTTCATGTGGCATTGTGGGGACAGGCAAGACCAAACAGGGGCTAGAGCCCGGGCTGCAGTTGGCTTTGGAACTGGTTTGTGCCAGTGATGGGCCCAGCCTGGGAGGGGGCCTTTTTTTGGGGTGCGGTAAAATAGTAGAGTAAAAACACAGGTTCTGATGTTATTATACATAGCTAAGGTTAGTGGATTACCCACCTTCCTGGTCCCATCTGTTCCTCTTAGAAGCTTTCTTTCAATAAATTTTTCCTACTCTTAACCCCCATTGTTCCTAGAATTCATTCCCTGATTTTAAAGAACATGGACTCAGCATTTTGGACATCTAGCAGGTCAGGAGTTTTATTTTCCCTATATCAATGTTAGATGGATTTGGTTTGGAATAGCAGCTTGGACACACAGTGTAACTGCGAGATGGTAAGAGGGACTTGGAAGCTATACCTGCAGGCGTTCAGTGAGTAAAAGCAGGATATAGCTCAGCATCTCTGTCTTCCTTTTACCTGTTTCCCTTATTACCTTAGAATTTGAGGTAGACTCTCTGTTGAGGTCTGAACATGGGCATGTTAATCACTCAAGGAATGTTTGAATTACAAGGTTTATTAGCTCTAAATTTACATAACCTCTCTCATCCCCCTTCAAGCTAAGGACAGCAAGAGAAAAGTAAGTAACATAATTCTTAGGATTTCAAGGTCATCCAATCACCAGCTCTTACAATGTGAAGTTTCAGACCCACTCCAGTGATGCCCAGAAGTCTCCAGTTGTTGACCTAAACCTGTAGCCATCTTAGATTCCAGGCAAACAGAGCCTTGAAGACCACCCCATGATGAGCTCACCCCTCAAACAGGACAGCTACCCCCCACTTGATGATAGGGCTGAAGCGGCCCCTCAAAGCAGAAACCAAATTGTCCCTGTCAATGATGGCTCCCCCAAAGCCAGTCCGGAGATGCCCAATGACCAAGCCAACGACTTGGCCAGGGTCACCTATGCTGCCAGTTCCTGGTCTTTGTTCCCTTTTTTCTCTAAGACCAAGCGTCTACCAGCCCCTTAAAGACAATCTTGAGCCTTTTTATCAGCACTTTCCAGCATGGCAGGTAGCTGAATCTGGTGCTCTCGAACCCGGGAGCCAGAGCTTTTGCCCTAAAGCTCTCGTAACGACCTGTCAGGCAGTGTTTCCTGGCCTCTCTGTGATGTATGATCTACCTTGTAGAGCTGAAACGGGGTTGAATAATTATTTGGCATTTGGCATAGACACTGTCAAAGAAAACGGACAGTGAACGCCAGCAGTGATCACTAAGAGTTGGCTCTATGAAGAGGAGCTGGACCCCTCCCAAGGAATCAGGACAACCTTCTACGCACTGGCCCTATTTACCAAGCCCACATGTCCCCCCAACTTCCCTAGGCCCTGTCCTCCAGGGTCAGCCTCCAATCAGACACAGGCACTGTTGGGCTCTCTTTCCGCAGTTTCCCTCCCGGCCCTTTGGAGCCCAGGGTCCCTTCCGGTGTTGGCCCCGCCCCCTCTCCAGTAGTTCCCCGCCTCCCGGAGCAGTTCCGGGTCGGCTCCCCGCAGCGGCCGGCTAGACGGTGAGGGGGCTGGAGCGATGCCTGCGCGCAGCCGCCACCGACCCCGCCTCCACGCCGGCTCCCCGCCCCGGGCTCCGCCCCTGCCGCCCGAGGCTCTTTACTCTGGCGCGGAGCGGTGGGCGCCGGACTCCGGCGGCGCCTCGGACGCCGACTCGGAGCTGGGTCTGGAGAGCCCAACTTCCACCGTGGAGGTGAGCGGGCGCCGAGGCTGAGGCGAGGGAAGACGGGGGGTGTCTGCTGCAAGGGTGAGTTGGGAGTTGGGGCGGAGCCGGGGGCTGCTGAGGGGCCGGGAGCTGGAGGGGAAGACGGTTGAGCAGCCGGCAAGGCCGCTCTGCTCTAGAATGGAATTCGGAGGAAATGGAGATTGTGGAGCCGGCGGCCTGGGGTCGGCAGTGCCGGGGGTGAGGGGCCGGGAACCGGCGGAGGCGAGGGCTTGGAGGGATGAGAGCGGCGAGGGAGGGAGGAAAAGCCGAGGGTCTTCGGGGATGCGGGCAGGAGGAGGAGATGCTGAGGGTTTGTGGGTAGCGAAGGGGACCTGAGGACCAGGCCTGGGGCCGGTGCGAACCCCGGAATGAGGGCACGAGCTGGGACTGACAGCCCCCGGCCAGGTGGCGACGGTGGCAGCGGAGGGAAGGAGTCAGGGTTGACTGGAGGAAGGGTCCAGGAGAGGACTGTTGGATGGGAAGTCATCTGACCTGAAGAGTGGAGAGAAGCATCTAAAAAGAGAAATGTGTTTAAAAAAGAAAAGGAGCCCTTGGGGATCTCATTTAGGGCTTTGGCATTTTTACAAGTTGCTGTCTCTCGAGGCAGAGATCCCAGAGCCAGGGCGATTGGATCCTAGGGCTCTGATTTTTGTGGACAGTGATTCTTTGAAGAATCTGAAAGAGGGGCGGTGTTCATCACTGATTTGCTCACAAGACTGGGGGAAGTTGTGAAGAGGAAGTGATGCTGGTAGACAGTAGTGCAAAGAGTGCTTCTGAAAATAAAGAGGCCGTTCGGATTTCTTCTCTTAGTAGTGCTGTACTTCAGTCTTTCTTTTTGTACTTCGCCCTTAAATACACTTGTTAGAGGAGTTTAAATCCCCCCCAACAGATTGAATATATTCGCCTTTAATTTCCTCCAGTCTCAGCCTGCCTTATACTGCTTTATACCTTTTAAAACTCAAAACTTGAAGGGGAATTTGAACACTTGGATGTTACATATGCAGAGTTTGGTTTGACGACACTTTCACCCAATAGGGTGCAAATATGGTTAGTAAAGCTAAAAATATGCGACAGCCCAAGGCCCTACCAGATTTTCCCCTCACTGATAACTCTGGGATTGGAATGATCTCTTGAAAATTCAGCACTCATTTTGGCAGATTTGCAGGAGAAATATGCACGTGCTACTTTGCAGATAATGTTCGTATATTTTTAGGAGAGTGATTTAGAAAAATCAGATAAAAGATAATTGTAGTTGGCAGCTGACTGGGACAGAGATGAGTGCACAGATGCTTTATATAGAAGACATAGTACCGAAAATGTAACTGTCGCAGAAAAATAAGAATGCAAAATGTATATTCTTTTTTTTTTTTGTCTTTTTCGTTTTTATCGGTACCGGGGATCGAACTCAGGACCGCACACTTGCAAGGCAGACGCTAATGCCGCTGAGCTAAATCCCCAGCCAAAATGTATATTCATTTTAGCCGACACTTGGAAGATGAAGTGGGAGGAGTCGAGGTCAGCTTGGGCTACTAATGAGTTTCAGAACAACCTGAGCTGCATAGTGAGACTCTGTCTCAAAAAACCAAAACCGAAACAAAACAACAAATTTACATTTATTTTAGATGAAATAAGTTGATTTTCTTTTGTGATTGTTAGATTATGGTATGACTCCATGAAGTCTTTGACAGTAGCCAAATGTCGCATACAGTGTTTTGCTCTTAAAAGTATATAGGTTTTTGGAAAGTTGTTGGCCACTTTTAATCAAGTATTTTCTACTGTGCTATTTAATCTTCTCGAGATGATAATTTACGAATTGTAGTAAACTTTCATGTTTATGTATACAGAGTGTATGCTGTGCCATCAAATGAACGATGGAATTTTTTTTTTTTGCCCTTTTTTTTTTTTTCTTTTTATCGGTACCGGGGATGGAACTCACGACCGCTTGCTTGCAAGGCAGGTGCTTATGCCACTGAGCTAAATCCCCAGCCCCTTGAAATAATTTTTTTAAAGAGAAATTAATTCTTAGATTTACTTTTAGATCAGATTAACTCCTTTTTCTTCACCTTAATGAAAATCAAGTTTACATTAAATGCTGGGCTCCCTAGGGAACATTTATACTTGACTTTGAGTAAAAACCTTGGCACATAAAAATTTGCTGAACTGCATGGAAATACAAGAACTGTAACTTCTTAATGTTATTGCAAAATTCAAGAGAAACTGTTAGATGGAGTTGTACAGTTAGGTTAACATGCCTGGTGATTATTTTATTTTATTTGTCTTTTTCGTTTTTTATCGGTACCAGGGATCAAACTCACAACTGCCTGCTTGCAAGGCAGGTGCTTATGCTGCTGAGCTAAATCCCCAGCCCCCATTATTTTATTTTCATTTCTCTTTGCCAATTCTCTTAGCCCTTTAGTTATAAAGAAAATCAGTGTTACGGTAAAGCATATTTACAAAGTAGAAGCTGCCCTCCCAAAGTGACAGAACTTGGAGGCGTGCTTGAATGTCAGTTTTGATTTCTGTAGCATACTCCTCATTCTGCAGACTCTTACTATATTGCAGTCATTTGTAAACGTGTTTATTTTGTTAATTACCAGATTCTCAAAAGTTTGCCATAACTAATTGAGACATTTTCATGACTTTTCTGCAAATTTAAATTTGAATACTGCTTATGAAAAACTCTTATGCTGGGCCTGGTGGTGCACACCTGTAATCCCAGTGTTCAGGAGGCTGAGGCAGGAGAATCCTAAGTTTGGTACCAGCCTGGTCTATAAAGTGAGCTCAAGGCCAGCCTGAACTGTATTGTGAGACCCTGTCTCAAAAAGATTAAAAAAAAGAAGGAAAAGAAAAACTGTTGATTCACAGATGTTTTAATGAATAATTCTATTTTGTCTTATTTTTATACTACTTTGCCTTATGAAAATGCCATATTAATTAGCTGTTCTTTCAAGATTTTTATATTTCCAAGCCTGATGTACTATATGATAATAGTTAACTAAACCTAGTATGGGTATTAACTTAATAGATGGGATTCTTTCCTGTCTTTCAGTTCTACTCCCTTCATTCTTCATATGATGGTGTATTGTTAGTAGAGATTGAATTCACTTTTTTTTTTTTTGAGATGGGGTCTCGCTGTGTAGCGTTAGCCTTGAACTCACTGTGTAGCCCATGCTGCAACCTAAGTGTTGGGATTATAGGCGTGGACCACCGTGAAACCCAGTGAAATCACTGGGTTTTTTTGTTTTTGTTTTTTGAGACTATAGAGTTCAGACTGGTATTGAGCTCATATGTAGCTCAGGCTGACCTTGAACCTGTGGTGAACCTCTTGCCTCAGCCTCCTGAGTGCTGGCATTATAGGCATGTGCCGATTTGCCTAGCGTGAAATCACTTTTTTTTTTCAGTACCAGGAATCAAACTCAGTGTCCTGTCCTTGCCAGGCAGTTACTGTGCTGCTGAGCTGCCTCCCTGGCTTGTGAATTCACTTTTTAAAATGTAAAGTTTATGTAGTTTTGATTCTTTTTGGGTATCAAACTGACTTATATGATATATGAACACAGTTCTAGATTCTGTTAAATTTTTTTTTTTTTTTTGTCTTTCTCCTTTTTTATCGGTACCAGGGATTGAACTCATGACTCCCTGCTTGCAAGGCAGGTGCTTATGCCGCTGAGCTAAATCCCCAGCCCCTGATTCTGTTAAATTTTTTTTTTTTTTTTTTTTTTTTTTTTTTGTACCAGGAATCAAATTCAGGACCTCTGCTAAATTTTTCATAGATGTTTTTAAGCTGTGTACATTGTTTTTGTTTTCTTTTGTTTTTTGGTACTGGGGATTGAATTTATGACCTCATGCTTGCCAGGAAGTCCTCATACATGTTTTTTACAAACTACTGTGTCATTCCCAGATTAAATGTTTTAGTTTTTGCAGAGATTTTGGGAGATGGAAAGCTAGATTTTTTCCTCTGTGCATGTGTAGGTGTGTTTATATTTATTTAGAAAATGCTGCTGGTTTTATTTTCTTGCTTGCATGTGATCTGGGGAACTTGTGAAACCTGGTATTTTTTTTTAGTGTATCTAAAGGTTTGATGTAACACATAGAGGGGTATGAAAGTTAGACCAGCACAGAAAACCATCTGACTGCCGGTATCATCATGACTGATTCTTACTTTAGATCTGGCGGTTTTCTTAGCCTTGAGAAATCAAGAAGTTAACTAAAAATAGAGCATAGACCAGGCATGCTTGGAAAACAAATCAGTGTTTATCTGCTGTTTCTCTTGACTGCTGTTTTGCTAGTGGATCGTCTGGATGTAGATTTGTACAAGACACTTGGTGTATCTTTTTGTGTATGTTCGTGTATGTTCAGCATCACAGCAGCAGCAGCAGCAGCAGCTCTACATTTTTGTTTTCTCTGCCGGGGATGGAACGCTGGACTTTGAACCATCACCAGGTCTTAAGCCTAATCTTCTGTCTCAGTTTAGTGACAGTGTGTGTTTCTGTACTGAAATGATGTGACTTCAGCATGTCTTAGTCCTCTCGGTTAAATGTCATTGCTTCATATGAACATAACTTATGTGAGTCATTTGAAAACTTCCTTTCACCACAGTGTTTTGTAATAAAATAGAGCTGTATATGTACTTCAAAAGAGTGATGCTATGGGGGCTGTGAGATGCATTTGTAGTTGTCTTAAGTTTTTGTGAATTTAATTAAATTTCTGACTTGTGAGGAGAAGTGGTAACATAAATATCTATCATCTGAACACTTTTTCTATTGAGTATTTTTGGTGGTGGGGGTGAACTCAGAGCCTTCTTACTGAGCTATATCCTTATCCCTTTTATCTTATTTTTTAAATTTTGAGACAAGATTGCTAAATACCCCAGGTGGGACTTGAATATGAAATCCTCCTGTCTCAATTGCTAGGATGGCTGGAATTACAGTCTTGTGCTAATTGACAGGCTTGAAATTTAAAAAAAATTTTTTTTTAGGCTTCAAATTCTT